TAGTTGGCAGAACTGAATTCAAACACCACGTGTTATGAATTGTTTACATTGAAAACATGTGACAATATTAACCAGCTGGTTATTTTCAGGTAATTATTGTTTAATTTGTTAACTGTAATGCAGTTAAGTTAATTGATTACTAGCTTAGAAGTATAATGAATAGTTTTGAAGTATACACTTAACCTAGACTTGTTGTTTACTATAGAAAAATTGCTTGTAAAAGCGTTCAAGATAGGTGTTGTTACAGTTTAGTTTGGATTCTTGCAGGTCCAAAAAATGTGATGTAGCATTACTATCTGCTACCTAGCAGTTGAATCATAGATAAACCAAATAGTGAAGATAGTGATTTCAATGATGACGTGATCGATTTCATTGATGACATGATCGAAGAAAAAGTACGTAAGTAGCAGGCCTTGCGATAAAGCGTCGGGCGATGTGAATTTTACGTCGTCCAAGAGCGATTTTGCGTGTAGCTAGGGCTATTTGCGACGAGCAAAAAAATTTTTGTTTGAGTATATTTAAAGATATTTTTGAGCGGAATTTTAATGAAGTAATTCACGATTATTTTAACATTTAATAAAGTATTTTAAAAACCGCACGCAGTTGATATAAAAGTTTGAATTAAAAGTTTGAATTAAAAAATTATTTACAAGTAGAAAAAATTCAGATTAAAAAAAAAGTTTAAATCTTTTAAGCTAACATTTTAATAAGATTATTCAGCAATAGCAAAGTTGTCGATAAAATTGAACAAAAATACTTTCTTTTAGTTTTAGATTTTAAACTTAAATAATTATTTTACGGGGGTTTGTTAGGTTTTGAAATTATTCCATAGATTTAAAAATATTTATTAACTGTTAGACTTATTTAAAGTATTTAAGAGTAATTTCGAGGAAACATTTTAAAAATTGGTGAGCGCAAATAAAATAAAAAAAGGAATAATATTAAAACGTATTCTACTTGATTCAATAAAAAGTACAGTTATTAAAACTTTTGTAAAAAGTAACTCAAAAAAATTACTTAATAACGATCGCTTTTATGTTAAAAGTTACCGAAACTCAACGAAGCGTGCTCAAGAACAGCTGCTGAAAAATAAAACGTCAATAGTTTTTCGAATAATTTTTAATAATAATTTTTAAGAATAATTTTTTCGCTGAAATATTTCTTTTATACCTATAAGATTTTTATTCTAACATTTTATTTTATTTTACTAGAAATAAAATTCCTTGTTAACATTAAAAATCTATTCAAAACGTTCGTTTAAGTTTTTTATTAATATGAGTGATTGTGCTTATCAACCGCTTTATGAAAATAAATAAATATTATATAAAATCGCTTGTAAAAATATTAGCTATTGCACAGCTTTTAATCGTACAATATTAAAATTTCCAGTTTATTACTCGCTGACTTTTTAAAAAGAAAAAATAATTATTTGAAAAACTTTAAATTACATATTTAAGAAAAAAAAAAATCAAATATTAGCATATTTTATAATCTTTTTTAAATTTAAGTTATAATGTTTTTTATTCGTTTAGTATAGACAAAACAAGACAAACGTCGAGAAAATAAACAAATGTTTTTACATTTTAAAAAACGAAACATTCCAAAACATTTTTAAATAATAACATTTCTACATAAACGATTTAAAGCAGTTTTGCGGTAATTAAGTAAATTGGTGCAGTTAATGTCGATAAATATGAAAAGCAAATAAAAAGAATTTAATGACGTCAAAAATCACGTTGTGCTTATGCGTCGCGCAGTTCTTATTCATCGCAAGGCCTGAAGTAGCTTTTGAAATAAAACTTTAATTCATAATTCTATAGGCCTACTCCATAAAGTGATGGGCCTAGGCCTACTCTTGAATAAAGTATGACTATTTGACAATACTAGCTCAAGCTTAGTTCTTTACAACATTTGAAAGGTATAATAACAAGAAATAGTTTTGAACTTTTGGCTAGGCCACAATCTCTAGATGTGCACGATAATGGTTGTGTTTCCATATCTTCAAGGACTTTGCCAGGGTACTGTCTCATAGAGACCCATGTCATGGTTTTTATAAAGAAAAAATTATGATTGGGCAGTTGCTATGGGGGTTAACAGGGGTTAACAGCTAGTCTAGTATAAAATAATTTTAAAATTTATAAGAAAATTAAAAATTAGTCTATAAAAACAATAATAATATCCTAATATTTTTTAAGGAACTGAGCGGACTACGAACTACCTTGGAAAAACAAAATTTTGAACAGCAATGATGATACAGGAAATCAAGCTTTTGGACTATTGATAAATGAAGCAGAAGTGATATTTGAAGATGGCCTAGGTATTGAAGACATCTTACAAGAAGAAGTCATCCTCTCTGTCAACGAAACGGATTTGAATCAGCACGGGACAAACCATTAGGATGTTTTACGAGAAGGAAATCAACCTATATCTATTATTGATTGCTCTCTATACTTAAAAGATAAAGTAAAAACTGCTACAAACATTGAATATAGTATTGATTACAATAACAATGATGAAGAACCTGATGACCCTAATGACCCAGATTTTGTATTGTCAGATGAGATTGTACAAATAGCTTTGAAAATGACTCAAATATTGGCCTAAATAAAAACGATGCTCAAAATATCAAAAAAAATTCCAATGCAGACCATTTAATTAACGAACTTGCAAGAAAACCTCAAGATGACTTACAAAACTATGCTCAAAATATCGAAAATAATCTCAATGCAGACAATTTAATTTGCCCAGAATTTGCAAGGAAACCTCAAGATGATTTGTGTTCTGTTGAGGTACTTAATGATGAAGGCAATAATGGCAAGAGAAAAAGAAACAAGCGGCCTGATAGATCTTCTTGGGATGTTAACGTTAACAAGAAACTAAGAATAACAGGAAAAAGGTACTTAGGCTATAAAAAAGTTAAAATTGATGGTAAAATTACAGTTAAACTAAGTGAAGTGGAGCATGAAGAAAGAAAAATGAGACCTGTGTGTAATTTCAAAATTTGTAAAGCAAATAAAAAACGAAAATATACTGAAATATCAGAAGAGATAAAACATGGTTTATTCAAATTTTTTTGGCAACTATCTTGGAAAGAAAAACAAGTTTAAATCCACAACCACATAAAGAAAATTGATGTACAACAGAAAACTATTATAGACAAAATAAGCAGGAGGTCTAGTTCAGTCTAGTCCTTCTACTGGTGATTTAATACCTAACCCACGGAATTAGGAAAAATGAGGCCGGCAATAATTTGCCGACCTCAATCTTTTTAAGGTTGGCATCAAGTCAGCAAAAATTATTTGATACAAGTTCTGACCATAAAACATAGATACGAGGTCAGCAATTTTTTGCCGACCTCAAACAAATTCAGGTCGCCAGTTAGGTCGGCATTACCGAATGCTGACCCTAATTCCAAGGGTTGAAAACCTATTTGTATACAGATGTTATTGAATACCCTTGGTATGAAAGAATAGATGGTTCAAAATTATGCATCAAGTATAGTAGTGTCTCCAGACAACAAGCAAGCACAGCATTCAGAACAAGAAGATAGTGCTATTCTACCAAAAGATGTCATTGAACAATGTGGATGTAAAGAGAAAAAAATACCACAAAAGAGAAAGATCATTTCTGAATGGTTTGAAAGTTTACCCAAAGTCATTATTGACTCATCTCATTATTGCAGAGCATCCACATCAAAAATGTATTTAGAACCATTATGGGATACAAAAATTGATTTGTACAGATCATACAAAGACTTTTGCATTTCTCACAATAAACCGTATGTATCCTTTACAATATTTATGCAAGTTTTTGAAGAAAATAATTTATCCTTCTTCGTTCCCAAAAAAGATCAGTGTGATACTTGTTTTAAAAGAAGACTACGATCAGCATATTACTGAAAAAACAGGGCTCAAGCTGAAAAAGAACGTGAAAAACAAATGGCAGTTGATAGTGAAATATATTGCTTGCCGGTAGACGTGGAATCTGTTACGTTAACTTCTATGACAAAGGTGCCATGTATTATAAGACAAAGCTATGTTCACATAATTACACTGTTTATAACTTAGCTAATAGACATTGCAAATGTTACTGAAGTAATGAAGTAGAGGGGGATTTATCGGCCAACACATTTGTTGGCTGATAAATCCCCCTTTACCTTCAAATAATCAACTCCTGTTTGGTTGATTAATTGAAAGAACATTGTCTCCTTGCTGCCCCATTGTATTGTACACAGATGGTTGCACAAATCAAAATCGTAACCAATTTGTATCAAATGTCCTTCTTCACTAAATGTCCAAAATAATATCAATGTAACTCAGAAATAACTAGTGAAAGGGCATACGCAAATGAAGGGAGATTCAGTACTTGTGAGGATTGAAAAACAAATCAAGGGAAAGGATGTGTACCTACCATTTGAGTATGTAAATATAACCAGGAGGCCTGGCAAACTCTCTTCCCTTATGAGGCTGCAAACTTGAAATATGACTTTTTCAAGAATTTCTCTAATATAAGCTATTACCAGTCAGAACACCAAAGAAGATATATGGAGTTATGTAATTGTGTAGCGTTACAATTTTTTAAACGACTACCTTTTTACAATTTTGTATCCTTTTTAGTTAATAAAATTTGTACTTTTTCATTTTAGACAATGCAATTTTATAATTGACTTACCCTCTTAAACAACACTTATCTCAGACAAAAGTCAATTCTACAAAACTTATTTTAATTAAATCAACATTTTAAATAAACAAACAAAAGAATTTAATAATTTTACGTTTTTTTTATTTTTTCATTTCTGTTTTTTTTTTTGAAAAATATCACGCTTTTTGGTTCTCCTGAAAAGTTGTGACTTTTTAGATACGTGGTGTTGGAGTTTAGCTATCGTACAATAATACAATAATTTGTACAATAATTTTTAAAATACAAAATGCCTTTTATCACTTATTAATTTTTGACTTGGTCTAACAGTATATGTCCCTGAGAAAAGAAAAAAAACTTACTTCCCTCTCCAAGAGTGTTTTGTGGTGTAAAATGATACCAGATCGTCATTACCCCATGCAGTAGCCATTTATATAGTTTGTTTTAAACCTTATAAAATTATCATTACTATTTTCTATCAAATTTAAAAACAATGATGACTAACAAAAAACACACTAATATATATATATATATATATATATATATATATATATATATATATATATATATATATATATATATATATATATATATATATATAAATATATATTTCAAGTGTTTAAAATATATATATATATTTTAAACACTTATATATTTATATATATATATTATTTTTAAACACTTATATATATATATATATATATATATATATATATATATATATATATATATATATATATATATATATATATTTCAAGTGTTTAAAAAAGACTTATCGAGTTTAGTAAAGAAATAGTATAAAAAAATCTTAAATATTGATGACATTTAAAACAAATTAATGTTAAAAAATTTTTAAATTATTATCAACTGTTTTTGTTTCTTATTGTTTTCAATGTGGATTTATGCTTGTAGCGCTTTATTTATATTTATTATTTGAATAAATATAAACTAACTCTGCACATTTCATAATTCAGATATGTTATGCTGCTCTGATTTTTGTAATTTAAGAAAAAATAATAATAATATATAAAACAAAAAAAAATCTGCTTTCTAGAAAAAAAAGTAATGTTTTTTTGGTATTTTATATTTTAATATATATGTATTTTTGTACATGTATGTATATATATATATATATATATATATATATATATATATATATATATATATATATATATATATATATATATATATATATATATATATATACATATATATATATATATATATATATATATATATATATATATATATATATATATATATATATATATATATATATATATATATATATATATATATATATATTTAGTTACATCAAATTATATAAAAGTTGCATAATCCACCATAATAATGGCAAATGTAATTTCACTTTGTGAACAATTTTTATGATTTTTCTGGGTTCAAGTTACGGAGAAATCTGTATTAAGATCGTAAAATGTTTTTAAATAGTATTACGCTTTTTACACGATTTAAAGCATGTCGTCTTTTAAAGTAGAACCGGTGACTGTTCTTATAGCCGTAGAGTGTCGTAATTTGTTGTTTTATTTGCAATATATAAAGTATCGAGCATGCGCTTTCTCGATGTGAATTACTGCTTTCAAGTCGAAAGTGGAATGTTTTCAATGCCTATGTTTTTAATTCTTGCTTATCTAAAAATTGTAAAATTTTTAATTGCAGCCAAAAAAATTAGACTAATATATATGATATCATCCAGATCATCAGACATTCTAAGCTTAGTTTACTTTGTTCCAATAATCAACCATAATCAGATTGTTCTTAAAAATTTTTATTCAATGAGCCTAATAAGTTACTTGAAAGACTAAAAAAACAGCTATGATTTCAATCTTCTAGCTTTCTTGCTATTCTAATTTTTAAACGGTAACAATTGAAATGTATTGCGGTGCATTAGATATGTACACTGTAACTACTATATGAATACTTAATTCTTCTTGTGAATTAAATACAATTGATAAAAGATAATATGGTATGCTGGTTTTTTATACAAAAAAAGTGGCTAAAGCATTGCTATATATTTTTTTTGCTCTCGTTTTAGACTGTAAAGCAGTAAGAAGTCTCGCGCTGGTCTTGTTTTTAACTTTAATTTTAAGTATTTCTCAGTTTTTTAAATTAGCTTTGCAACTGTAAAATTGTTTATATTAAGTCAGCTATTTATAGTTTTATAAAAAGTATTTACATTTTGTTAAGTATTGATGTTTTATTGTAGCTAAAAAAATCATATGAGTATTAAAAAGTAAAACAAAGAAATAAAAGCTGTAGTTTTATTTTTTTGATTTTTTCAAAAATTTTAACTCAATTTGAGTTTGCTTTGTTGAGACTTGATTAAGATGAAACAAATAAAATAAAAACTTTGGCTGTGGCCCAAAAGACTTGACCACTCAATATTTATAGTAAAAAACTATTTTTGTACAGTTTTATATATTATACCGTTGTTTTTTTTTAATTAAAAAAAAAAAATACTTGGGCATAAAAAATTGAAGATTACTAAAAGCCATGTCTTGATAATTTTAAAATTTTTATTTTGAAAAATATGAAGTCACTCGTCGTGCGCAAAATTATTAAACTTTATAATTCAAAGCGTATTACTTATAGGGAGGTCTTGTCATGTGACTTTTTAGTGTCATGTGATTTTCTAGTGCAGTAAAGCTTTTTGAAATTTCCACCGTTTTTAGATATTGGTGAGCGCAATCAAAGTAAACCTGCTGTTTCTCTTTAACGAGTTTAAACATTCTTTTGTAGAATTTAATTTTATATAGAGCTGAGATTTTATTATTGGCTTTTACTTACAACATTCAACAACAACAACAACAACAACAACAACAACAAGATATTTATTTTCCTTTTCAAAATTTAATTTTCAAAAAAAAAAAATCTAATAAATAAATTTAAATAGTTCCCTGCTTTGGGTTAAACTAGATTTCGACTACAAACAAAGCATAATTTTAGACGTTTCTTTTTTTTGATGTTCCTAATGGCAAAGTTCGACAAAATGGTAAGCCTTGAGACTCGATTAAGATGAGACTTGATTAAGATGAAACAAATAAAATAAAAACTTTAGATGTGGCCCAAAAGATTTGACCACTCAATATTTATAGCAAAAAACTATTTCTGTACAGCTTTATATATTACACAGTTGTTTTTTTTTTTAATTAAAAAAAAACATATTTGGGCATAAAAGAATGAAGAATATTGCTGAAAGCCATGTCTTGATCATTTTAAAATTTTCATGTTGAAAAATTTAAAGTCGCTAAATTATTAAACTTTCTAATTCAAAGCCTTTTAAAATTTAAAAGCCCAATACATTATATTTTTACTACAATACTAATTAACTAATTGGTGAACTGATAAAAACATTTGATTACTTTTTTAGAAGTTTGGAATATACTTACTTAATTATACTTACTTACTTTATACTTATGTATACTTATTTTATACTTATATATACTTAATTATTATACTTACTTAATTATATTAAACTAGAAGTAAATTCTGATGAATTCTTATAAGTAGACTATTTGTAGAATTAATCTAAATCAAGCAACTAGAATATGTTTAAGTGTTTGTAGAATTTTTTAAATTCTTGTTAGTCAGAGCGAATACAATGCATTGAGTATTTTTTGTGTTCCATTACAGGGAAAATGTCCAACACTTTAAAAATTCACGAAGAGTGTAGAAAATTTTTTTATGCTTTCTGCGCGTGAAAAAATTTGACAGACAAGATACAGATTTCATGAAGGAGAAAATCAAGGCCCTTCATTAAACAAGAGATTGACTTCATTAATCCAAAGGTTCCATCAGAAACATGCAATTATAAATAAATATATATATATATTTTTATATATATATATATATATATATATATATATATATATATATATATATATATATATATGTATATATATATATATAAATATATATATATATATATAAATATATATATATAAATATATATATATATATATATATATATATATATATATATATATATATAATATATATATATTTATATATAATATATATATATATATATATACATATATATATATATATATAATATATATGTATATATATATATATAATATATATATATATATATATATATATATATATATATATATATATATATATGTATATAATATATATATATATATATACATATATATATATATATATATATATATATTTATATATATATATATATATATATATATATATATATAAATATATATATATATATAAATATATATATATATATATATATATATATATATATATATATATATATATATATATATATATATATATATATATATATATATATATATATATATATATATATATATATATATATATATATATATATATATATATAGCCGGTCTGTGACATTTTAGGCCCTGGTGCAAACTAAGTTTGAGACCTTTTAAAAATATGTAACCTTAACCGAGATATTTTTAATTCATACTTTTTAATTCTTAGTCGATTGTGTAATTTTAATGAGCAGGATTCGTATAAATAAAGAAATAACCAATTAATTGAAAAAATACAAACATTTTTCAATTAATTGGTTATTTCTTTATTTATACGAATGCTGCATAGAGAAAATGAAAAGCATTAAAATTAATATACTTCATCATCGTTAACAAAAACACCTTTCAATGAAAAAACTCACCGTGCTTTGGCTTCAGCAAACTTTTTTATTATCTCCGTTAAATTATCATCTTCGTTACCTGCAATTTTTATCATCTTTTTTATCATCTCCGTTATCTGCAATTTTCATTTCAATAGAATTATAATAATTTCATTTTCAATAGAAATTAAAGACAGTACGCAAAGTCGATCTTGATTCATTGTAGTTTTTAAATAAGTTTTAATCACCTTAAGTTTAGAAAAGCTTCGCTCCCCTGAGGCTATATAGTACTTGGCATAGTTTCTACGATTTGCAGTGCCACACATAGATTTGGAAATACATCCATCAGCTAGTTACTTTTTAAATATTTTAACGGTGTCACATTTAATGGAAGTACAGTTGAAATAATTTGTAGTTCAGAAAAAATTTCTTTTCCATCGATTTCAGAATATCCCTCAAAAGTTAGTTTATTTTGTAAATCAAGGCAATTTTTTTTTAAGTTCTGAAGAACTTACCTTTTGTAAAGAATGTACATTAAATAAAAAACCAAACACTGATACATAATCATTTATTTGAATAAAACTTTCCTTCAATAAAACAACTACATTATCAATAAGAACATTGAAGAATTCTATTCGATAACGTTCTTTAGGATCTTGGATAGGGTCATCATTACTTTCGTAAAAAAATACACTTTTTTTGTACGCACTTTTAAGGAATGGGTGTTTATAAACTTTAGTTCCACGTCTAGTTCACTTGCAAGCTCTTTAGCGTCTGTAATGCAACTGCAGAAGCCATTATCACGAAAATCTGCAAGGAATATTATTGCCTTCTTTGTTGATTCATTCGTCATTTTTAGATCTGAATCTTTTGCTTGCATCATTTTGCTAATTACGTTAATATGAAAAAGGATCTCATACCAGACAACTAGTGAAACTAGGAAAGAAAAACTTTTTAATTAATTTCCAAGCGTTTCAGCTTCGTTTCGGCAATCGGCAGGAAAAGAATCGCTACTAATTATTCATATAATGCGTCATATATTTGTCCTACCTGATAGGAGAAATATAAGAAGTAATGCTTTAACACTGTTTATGCGTGCTTCCCACCAAGTGTCTGAAAGCGACTTTAGAGTTGAACCTTCTTTTTGAAGGTGATTTTTAAGAATATTCCATCGCTTTGTAGACGCAGAAAAAAAGGTGTACAAATTCTGAATAAAGCCAAAAAATGATACTGAACTAACTGAAGATTTTGCAGCATCAGATAAAATTAATTTCAAATTATGATATGCACAAGGAACAAAAAAGCCAAAGTTTAGACTAGAAATTCTTGCTTAAACACCAGAATGGCGACCTTTCATGTTTGCTCCGTTATCGAAACCTTGACCTCGACAGTTCTGCATGTCTAATCCAGGTTTTTTTAACTCATTTAAAAAAACATCGTGATAATCAACAGGTAAAAACGAAATGAAATGTTTTTTTATGGCAACTTCTGGTTCTATCTGAACTAAACAAATAGTCAACGACATTTGATTAGTGTGAGAAAGGTCCGGTGTGCAGTCTAGAATAAACGAAAAGTATTTTGCTTTCTTGCAGCGCATAATAATTTCATCTTTAATTAAATTAGCCATAAGATTAATCATTTTATTTTGAATGTTTTTTTTCTAGGAAACTAACAAAATTTTCTTCTGATTCGATTTGTCTGAAGTGCTCCTGCAAAATCGTATCATATTTAGCCAGAAGATCAACTAGTCCCGAAAAATTGCCATTATTAGTATGCTCTAGCATTTCAATTGACCCACGAAAAGCTATGCTTCTTTCAGCTAAGAATTGTGTAACTGAAAGAAGTCTTTTTAACACAGCTGCCCTCGTTTACCTTTCTGATCTATAATTTTTTATTGCTCATAATCAATTGTTTTTTTTATGTTGCATTTCCTGCAGTAATTCAATTCTGCATAGCTTCCATATGAGACTTACCGTTTTCGTGAATTTTTAACTCTTCTGACAGTTTACGCCTGTAACATACACCACCACCAGCATCTAAAAATCTGTTTTTAGATGTTGAAAACAACTTGCAACAGAAACAGAACACAGCATTTGTAGATTTTGAATAAACCAACCAACGTCATTTTTTTACCATTAGGAAGAACTTTAGTGTAATAAGAAGCACTGAATTTTTAAGAATCTTTTTTATCTCGAGGAAAAGAAATATTTTCAATGCGCACAGGACCTTGTTTGACAAGACTTAAACGATTGCGATCGCTGAGGTATTCAGGCCACAGTCCAGGGTATATGTGCAAACTGTGTGGCCACAAGGCGTAGTCACACTTATGAAATAAGTGTGACTACGCCTTGTGGCCACACAGTTTGCACTTAACTTTTAGAACGTTGCCTTGTGGCCACACAGTTTGCACTTAACTTTTAAAACGTTGGTTTATCCTCGGAAACCATAAAATCGATTTGTGATTGTGATAAAAAATGTTAATATTGCAATATAATATTTAAATCGTAAATAAAAAATTTGACTTTCAAACTATTAAATAAAGAATAGTTTTTTTATTATTTATAGTCTTGCAAAAATGATGGGGCCCCTCAAAATTGAGTAAATGTGGGGCCGCGGTGCGTGGCAACCTTTGCACTCCCCTAAAGACCGGCTCTGTATATGTATATATATATTATATATATATATATATATATATAATATATATATATATATATATATATATATATATATATATATATATATCCATATATATATATATATATATATATATATATATATATATATATATATATATATATTATATATATATATATATATATATATATATATATATATATATATATATATATATATATATATATATATACAAGGCCGGCGCGATAGGGGTGTGTGGGGGTCCGATTTGCCGACTGGACCCTTAGTCGGCAAATCGGACCTTTTTAGACTAGTTAGTCGGCAAATGTCGACCGTTTCGATATAGGTTAGACAGTCGGCAAATGTCGTATGGGCAGTCGGTATGTCAAAAGTTGTAATGGCACCCCCCCCCCCACGTGACACCTACTCGCGCCGGCCCTGTATATATATATATATATATATATATATATATATATATATATATATATATATATATATATATATATATATATATATATATATATATATATGTATATATATATATATATATATATATATATATATATATATATATATATAAATATATATATATTATATATATAGATATCCCCAAATTATTTCATCGAATTGTACATGTAAAATTTAAAAATAAAAAACGACATCCCCAAATTATTTCATCGAATTGTACAAGTAAAATTTTGAACGGACGCAAAAAGCGTTGAAAATACTGACGAAATAATAATTGTGCGAAAAATAAACGTAACTAAGCAATTTACATAACGGTTAACCACTTTCATTTTCATTTTGATAAATTTTTTTGTTTAAATTTTTATTTTAGATTAATTATCTTTATAAAGAATGGATAAAGTCTACCAACCTGAGCATCCCCTACCTGATTCTATTAAAAATATGTCACGGTGTGAAACAGTTTGTCAATTTTGTGGTATAAGCTATTTGATTCATAGCGAAATAAAAATGTTGCAATCTGAGTTAAAAGAACACAAGAGAGAGGTATTGAAATATTTTTCAAATATCGTATAACAAAATAAAAATTCCATCACTTTTACAAATTTGTTTTTGTTAATAATTGCAAACCGGCTCTTGAATTTTTTTGCAGTTTTACATTTGTACTTTTTTAAATAAAGGAAGCTTATAAGATGCAGTGTAGGTAGGGTTACCAAATGTCCGGTTTTTACGAAGGATAACACAGTAAAAAATTTATTTTTACAGGTTTGATACTGTATTTTTCTTCATAAAAGTTGGACATCTAGCAACCCTAAGTGTAGGTCAAAAAAATCCAAAACTTCAAGTAGATTAGTAGTACAAGATTTTTTGCAAACAAAATTCATGTTGGCATTTGTGGAAAAGATTTTTAGATATTAGGTGATTTATAACTTTCTCTTTGATCATTTTTTCCATTATTTAACATGGTACAGAGGTTATGGAATTGGTCTGAAGTTTGTTGGGTCAATCTTAAAGCCATTTTTGAACAATGGAGTTAAATTTGCTACAAGCCAAGCCTTTGGTACTCAATTGTGCCACCTCAATTGTGGTATCGAGTAGAAGAATTAAGGAATATTTAAAATTACAAAAAATTTCTCATATAAACCAACATATTTATTCAAAAACTAGTTGCTTAAATGTAGCCATTAAAGACTCTTTTTCTATTAGACTACGTCTAAACTGCCCATCACTTTTGAATAAAAGAAACACATTATGTTGGAAAAACCTGATTTTAATAAATAGGTTTTTAATTACATACTATCGCTCCAGCTTTAAATGATGTTTTCTATTACTCTTTGATGTATGTATTACACTATATATCTTGATTTTCCATTATTCTATGACATAGGTTTTTACATCTTTATGTTTTCTTTTGTTTGACTGAGAAATAAAATAATCTTTGTTTTTACTATATATTAAATAGTTTTTGTATTTAACAGTTTTATACTTGAAAATGATTATTGTATAGTTGAAATATGTTGTAAAAAACTAAAAAAAATTCAATCTATGTTTTGAAAATATATTTTAATAAAACAACAACAAAAACACCTAAAAAAAAAAAAAAGTCCTCGTTTTTTAAAATTTGTTGACTGCCTTAATGACATTTGCTGACGGACTGTCTAAGTTTACGGACTAACTTGCCAAAAAAGTCTACATTTACCAACTAACTAGTCAAAAAGGGTCAATATTGCTGACTGAATGAACAAAAAAATCATTGATAAGGAGATGTTACACTTCCCCATTGCGCCGGCCTTGTATATATATATATATATACACATATAGAGTTCGGACTGTTGTAATCGTAATGAAAACAATAACTGAAACAATAACTATTGATATTGTATTAACTTTTTTAGAAACGATAACAATATCGTGATTTACAATTTTTGGAATACTGTAATACAATAACAATAAATATTGTATTGCAAACCATCTTCATAATACAATAACAATTTCTGAAAAAAAAAAGTATTGCAATGACCCACTACAATAACAATAAATATTGTACTGTAATTTATCTATATAATATAATAACAGTTTCTTGTTATTGTATACTCATTAGTGTTTATTTATAATAATAAAAATAAGCTATTTTCACGTGCTATATGTAGTTAATCAATTAGTTTAGATCTTATTCGGTGATCAATTTCAATATAAGTTTAGACAAAATTTGTATAAATGTGTGTGAAAATGAATCTAAATACTTTAAAATACAATGGCTATTGAACTTTGAAATAGTAATACAATACACCACAATATTTATTGTAACATCAAATCAGTACAATAGTTATTGTAATTGATTTACATCACAGTAATACAGTACAAAAGTTTTAGGATTTCAATGTATATATATATATATATATATATATATATATATATATATATATATATATATATATATATATATATATATATATATATATATATATATATATATATATATATATATATATATATATATATAAATTAAAATATTTGTCAAACCAGTAAAGAAACAAAAATAATTTTCCAATAAATTTTATTGTCTCAAAATGTTTTATTTAAAATACAATGTATCATGCTTTTGATTATATATATGCTTTTTATATGTTCAAATTCCGCGAAATTTATAAACATCCCATTTCTTTTATATGTTTCAAAACTAAATTCTTGAATCCATTCTGTCAAGCAATTTCATTTGGTAATTTATTGCATAATTTTATACCGTTGCAAAGGATTGACTTTTGTCCACTTTTCTTTTTTTGAATTTTTAAGTGATAATTTGCTGCATTTCTTGTGTAATGATTATGTATTTCACTGTTTTTTATACAAAATTCTTAGAAGGTATCCATTTTATGTAGTTGAATTGTATTGTGTATAAAAGTCAATACTTTCACTTGAATATTTTATTTTACAGATAGCCAGTCTAATCTAAACACCATGTCTTTACTATGTGTGAACCAGTCACATTGCAAGATTGTTCCCATAGCTTTGTTTTGTAGCTTCTGTAGTATTTTTATCAGTGCCGTGGCAAGTAAGGCTGCCCCCCACTTAAAAAAAAAAAAAAAACTAGCCATTTGGGCCCCAATTTTTTATTTATTTTTTCTAAAAAAGTGGATTTATTTTTTTCTAAAAAAAGTGGATAAAATTTATAGGTGACCCCAAAAAGCAGGGTACCTGACATATTTTAACGTTGACATTTATAAGACTAAAAACAATCAAATTAACGCTTAAATTCAATTAAATATATTTTATAATTGTTAAATTGATATAGAGTTTACTTGTAAATAGTTTATTTAAATACTGTTAATGTATTACGCAGATTTTTTTTTTTTTAAACATCTTCGCTTCCAACAAGGCTGCAAGCAACCACTAATTAGTGTTGGAAGTTACTGGAAGAGGAAAGATGAAAATTGTAGGGCATGATAACGATTGACAGACAACTTAAAAGATTGAAAATTATATGAATCAGGAAAGCAAGATGAAGGAAGCGAATTCCAAAGAACTGATGTTCAAGGAAAAAAACTAGGCGAGTAAGAGTTTTTAGAGCACTTAGGAACAGTAACAGAAAAAGGATGAGACTTAATTGAATGACGAGTAACACAAGAATGAGTTTTAGTAGATGGACGCTAGCTCTTTAGAGCAGTGCCCATTAAATTTGTAGAAAAGAGAAAGACAAGCAACTTTACGACGATGTGACAGAGGTTGAAGGTTGGCTGCAAGAGCAGGTCCAACTATAATACAAGTAGATAATACAAGTACGTCGCAAACCATCAAAAAAAGGGTTTGCAACGTGTTTTCATGCTTGCAAACTCATTTATTATGCCTACACAACTTAATTTCCTTGCAACCTTGATTTCAATTGACAGCGTTGCTAAAGAAGACAAAAGTTCATCAACTATTGTTGACCTATTTAAAGATACAAAGAAATATAGCTACATGTATTTATGTATAATGAAGCAAGATTATTTATACTAACCTATGAAAAGTTTAAATTAGTTTTAACTTGCTAAAGGTATGTTCTGCACTTGCAACAGCTGGTAAAGTAAGAATGATTCGTAACGCAACAACTAAATTGGGATAAGTTTCTTGCAGCTCTTCTTTAAGGCATTTTTTTCCTCCTTGTTAACTATGACAAATCGTTTTAACTCAATTTCTCAATCCTCAAAATCTATATCACCAAGCTTCATTTGCAAACTTTTGCAATATACAGACAAAGAATTTTCATTACAGGCTTTAATAAGACTCTCAGTTCGGTAAAGAAAGTCATTAAGATTTGTGATAATACTGATCTGTTCAAAACGCTTATTTACTGATGCGATTGACATATCCATTAATGGCAAAAAAAAATCTGCTTCATATTGACGTTCAGGTTGCCGAGTGTGATCAGCACACTTGTATGAATAAATCAACTTTTTTTTTTTGTAAACATATTATTTTTTTTGTAAACATATTATTTCAATGCCCAATATTCTGCGATTTCTGATGCCTTAGTGTGTGCGTCGTAAAATCCATTTTTGCAATACTCATAAAGAAATGCATTTGTTGCCTTTATTTCACTAGCTAAAATGTCGAGAGAGGTTGCAGAAGACTGAAAAGTATTAAGTATCTTTGCATAAGCTCATTGAGAACGGTGTCATACTTAGCCAGTAATTCAAACATCCCAAGAAAGTTTCCATAGCTCTTTGAATCAATGGCTGTGTCTGAAACATAGAATTCAAGATTTCTTGCAGAAAGAAATAAGGTAATGTCCAGTATCCTTTCTAACACTGCACTGCATAGACGAGCAACTTTTTTTGTTGCTCGTCTATGGTAGCTTGATTTGCAATGCCTGCATTACCAAAATTGAGGGGAAAAAATTAATTAAGAAAAAAAAGTAAAAAAGCAATAAATTAAAATAAATATGAGTTAACCTTTTTTTTAAGTCATCCAGTGTTTAAAGCACTTAAAATGTGCACTGCATGTTTCGTGTTCTTTAATATTTTTGATAAGCCTTCCCAAGTGTTCATTACTTGTCGGAATGGTGAAGAAGTTATCCCAAAATGTTTTCAACAAAAAGAAAACAATTTATTGCTATTCAAAGAATATATGAGCCATGTTCGTTCAAAGATTTCTCCATTCATCATCTTGTTGTTATAATAATTCAGTAAAAATCATTTTCTTTCTAAATTGTGTGGAAAATCATTTTCAATCTTTTTAAAACCACGTTTAACAATGTCACACCTCTGTGCGTCAGAAACATCATCAGGCAACTCAGAAGAATCATCACTGAGAAAAATAGGCGGAATTGTTATGCCATTTGATGAAGACTCACATATCAATCTTTCTGACTCTAGTATTCAAATAATGACAATCAGAATTGTATGTAGTTTCTGTTGGTGTCAAAACACTTCCAGACTAAACTGCTGGTTTCAAAAAATGTGTTAGTTTAGGGTATTTTGTGATTTTCTCCCTGGCTGCAGCTTTTTCTCTTCTCTTAGTGGCACCACTTTTCACTTTTTTCATACCAATATTTATATCGTAAAAAA